AACCAAGGAAAAAAAAAAAAAAAAAAAAAAAAAAAAAAGCACCCCAGTGTAATGAATGCAGTGGGCTGTGGAGCAGAGAGCCTGGGCCATGCCCCAGGGGAGCAGAGAGTCAGCAGGATGGAGCCGGAGTCCCCTGAGGCCGGGGCCTGGTCCTTTTCGTTTCCCTGCTGAGAAACGTGCCAATCTGCAGGGAGACAGAGCTGCAGGGACAGAGAGGACTCCAGGCTGTGCTGTCAGAGAGGACACTGGGAGGAGAAGCTTCCTATACAACTCTTCTCACAGGAGAGGGCACTTGATTCTGGAACAAGCCCAGGAAAAGATTCTGAGGGTTTTCTTTGATTACACTCTTTAATAGAAAGAAAGATATTATTTCTTTCTTAATAGAAATAATGTCCAGAATACGAAAATTTATGGAAACCAATCATTCTGTGCTGCTAAAGCATGTTTGGTTTTCGAATATTTCATTGTGCTCCTTTAGACCGCATGTAACAATCCGATTTTAAAGGATGCACTGGGGTGTGCAGAGGGGCTTGGGTTCGAGTGTGGAGATGGGTGCCCAGCAGCTCCTGGATGTCCTGGAGGTGTTGCAGAGGTGCTGTTGTGTGGCCACTGTCATGTTCCTTCTATGAGCTCACACTGGGCGTGGGGGGTATGCCTCAAAGCATTTTTAGTAAAAAAGTTCATACAGACTGAGGGTCGGTTTTGCCCAAATAAATGTTACACAATTTCAAATTTGTTTAAGTTAAAAGGTGCATTTGTACACCACGAGGCACAGAATATTCTGAAGCACACACACATCACAGAGTGGCCAAATTTGTTAATTATTATACCCATTACCCACCATGTAATCTTTTTATGGTGATAACATTTATCTCTACATCTCCAGGTGTTACTGTGACTTCTTATACCACTGCAGTCTCTCTCTCACTGAGAGTCTGATGTATGCTTAGGACTTAAAAAGCTTTGTGTAGTGCTCAGGATGTATTACTGGGCTAGAACATTTGCCCAGCTGGCACCACGGCCTGCGGTCAAAGGCCAGCACTGCAAAAAACAATTAAACAAATTAAATAAATTAAAACTTGTTTTGCATTTATTATTATTTTTAAGTGTTTACTTATTCATGTAGTCCCATGTGCTTACTGCACAGAGACATATGACGTGTGATGGTGAAATGAGACTCTCCAGCTTTTTCATCTCATAAACTGTAAGTTTGTCTTCCCGAAAGAGTGGTAACTTGCAGCAACATGTTCACATTTGTATAAATGAACAGACTCTGGGTGGCCCCCACAGGAAAGGCTCGTTTCCTTCTGCTGCCTCACTCAAGCGAGCTCCTGTCCCACTGTCACCTGAGGAAATTCTCCCCTTGGCTGCTATGCCCCCTTCTTCACAGCCCGCTCCCACTCAGCCGCGCCAACTTGCCTGCAGATGGGGATTCTTTCTATGTCAGGCAGACTTCTTAATCGTTGTCCTACATTCTGCCCAGTGCTCTAGATTCGGTGGAAGTTGTATTTCAATCCTTTTGTTGCTAACATCCTGTTAGATACAGAGTGGTAGGAGATTTATGTTTGTTTCTCTGTGATTTTTATCTAACACCTGGCTTAGCCCTTGTCTCTCACTGGAGACTCAGTGTGTGCAGGGTTATTCTGGTTCTCTGTATCATCACTGAGGGTTGGTTTGCTGTCCCTTTTTCTTTGCCAGAAACCTCCAGAAAGACATACATCTTCTTCAGTCCCAGTTTTGGACCTGAAAACTACCATGATGATGGGGGAAAACGGTTACATTTGAGTTGAAGAAGACTCTCTCCTCAAGAGCTCACTTTGCTTTCCATAGTTTTCCTCCTCTGCCTAGAATAAGCTCCCTCCTAGGCCAAGTCAGAGAATCTGCTTCACAGCCCTTTGGGGGACTCCCTGCAGGAGAGAGGAGGCCCAGCAAGGTGCTCATGAGTAACTGGGTCTCCCCTCGTTTACCTTGACATTGAAGAGCAGAGGTGCAGAGAGTTAGGAGCCAGCAGTGGGAGAGTTGGGTCCTGGGTCAGGGACGCAGCTTCCTTCCGGGGTCTCGGGTTCCATCCACAGAGGGCGCAATCCCTGAACCCAGCCAGGAGAGGGGATTTGTTGAGTGGA